AAATGTATGTAAATGTATGTAAATGTGTATGTACGTATGTATCCATCTATGGACACACACACACATATCTTATTTCGCATAAGCATATGCATATATATATATATATATACACACATGTGTGTGTTTTGTATGCATATACACATACAAACATGTGTATGAATATGTACACACATAAAACATATATATATATATATACTGAAAAGCTGCAAGGGGCGTGAAAGTAGGGCCTGGAACCAGCTCTAAGGCATCGAGTGATCGCCGATATTCGCGCAGCTGACCGAAGCCTCTCAAGGTGCACGGTCTTTGTGTGGCTTAGGGTTTAGGGAGTTAATTAGGGAACTTCAAAGTTGGAGGTTCATGTTTCAGGGTTCCGGGTTTGAATATATTGGTAGGGTTTGGGGAGTTATAGGGAACCTTATATAGTTTTGGGGTTCGGGGTCTGGCTGAGGGACTCCGAGGATGTAGAGCTTACGTCTGCTGTGTACCGCGTGCATCTTTAAGTCTTCATGTCTTCGGGTGCAACAGCGGTTCGGTTGACAGAACTGCCATAGGAGTCGTTCAAATGTTCGTTGGACGAATGTAAGGTTGGGATTACAACATGTATTCAACGAGCCAGTAGCTGCAGTAGCTATGCTGGGTGACGAGTTGTTTATACAACTGATGCCTGATTGAATAAGTATAACTATAACTGCATGCAGCAACTGCCCAATACCTTTTAATGGCACGGTATTCGGCCCTTCTTGAGCACGGCGACGACGGCAAACACACCACACCAGTAACTTCAAACTGAGCCACTATGCTCATCATTGCTTTCATGGCTAAGAACAGTTGACAGCCGAAATCAGCATCAACACGATAGCCCCAGATGATGTCATGATTCCGCTTCGCCGCATCCCGGCTCTACTTCCCCGACATGTTCAGAAATTTTCGGGTACCACCTGGACCCTAAATCACCTACCTTTTTAGGGTTCCTTATTATGGTTTCTTTATATAAGTCCGTAAACAGGTAGGTTCTTTGGGGTTAAGGTGTACCCGACTAGAAGCTCGAAAGTTTAAGACTTCAAGGGTGCAACGATCTAGCACTGCTGCGAAACGCCCGAAATTGGTTGTCTGCAAGGACGGCGGTTTTGGGGGCCAGGTTTCTGGACGTGCCTGCGAACATGCAGCTCGAAACTTAGTGCTTGCTTCCTTTATTCAGGGCTGTTCGCGCACACATCATCGAACGACCCCGCAAAACCGACACTAAACAGTTCAGTAAAGCCCCTTCACTACCGATTCTATCCCCTAATACGTTTTCGAGATAGGCTGAATTATGACAATCAGTATATAGGAACTGAAAGGGGACATGATTGTTACATAACTTCAGACCCCTATAGCCTATAGTAACTCAGCCAGAGTGGCGCTTATGGCCCATGTTGGGTAGATCCGGATCTGTGAGCTCCGGCGGGGTCTCACCTGGCTGAAGGTATCCAAGCCAGGGTTTAAGGTTTAGGGCTGAGGGTTTGGGGTTGAAGCTTAAAGGCTTTCGGCTTGAGGTTCCCAATGCTGGGGGCTTCAGGACTTTCACAAAATCGGTCCAAACCGGGATGGGCGGCGACATGGAATCAGGGCATCTACGGTGGTGTTGTTCTTGTGAGGTTCAGGAAGCAGACGAAGTCAGGTGGTGGTCGATA